TATAAAGAGAGAATGGTAGGGGTGTGTTTGCCCCCGGAACCCGTAATTACGCGATGGGGGACATGGATTAAAGCAGCTATATTCTATGCAGAAAATTTTGAAGCAATTAAGGATTTAATTTTGGATATAGAAGACAATTCACAATGTGCTTTGATAGCGTACCAAATTAGGAACAGCAATGTTAATTAGAACCCAACAGTGAATGGTCAAGTGGAAATATTCGCTAGGCATCAGAATTAATTTTTAAATAAATTAATTAATTTAAAAAATCGCATAATTGGACAAAATAACTGCATATTTTTGGTAAAAACGATGCATATATATGCGCATATTATATTCCGCCCTCTAGTAATTATATATTCCAAATATTTGCTTTTGTCGATGATATCAAGAATTATAAAGACATCCATAGTATGGACACGTTAAAAAAATGGACGCGCCAGGTAACAATAAAAATTGCATGTGTTGAATTCCCGACACAATAACCAGCAGATTATACGATATAGTTGATCCCGTTCTTATTTTCCTTTCATTTATCCTCTCTAGTAGCTTTATTGTAGGAATTTACTCCTATAGCTGGTATAAGATTGTATGTTCGCTTTGTTTATGCAGATTGGAACAAGAATATTGCTTTTTAATGCCTCCTGCATATTTCTTTTAATACAATAAATTACAATAAATTACATTGCTTTCAAAATATGCAAGTAAAAGTTTTTTTTACAAAATACTTTCTATATTTTGTCCTGTTATTCAACTATTTTTATTTCTGATGGTAATTTGTGCACATGTTGTCGATGGTCTTCATGAGTCTACTAGAGAGTTATGGACAACTCAAAGCATTTTAGAGTTAATTTAGTAAACTCCAGCCTTTAGATTGCCTTTAAGCATAACTTTAGAGCTTTTAAGTAGTCCTTTGACTTTAACTGATAAGATGGTGTATTACAATTGTTTTGCCATTAGCCTTCATACTTAGAAGCGGATTTCTATGTCATAGGCTACGATGGCAAATTTTCGAAGGCCAAATTTTTTCCCCAAAATATTATTTCACATTTATGATAGAAATCTAAAACTTCTTTTTAGCATCCAGGATGCTTTGAGAGAAATTAAACGATAAATAACTCTTTAAGAGCCTGTCGTCCACGTGATAGACATGCAGAGAAGATGCCTTGGAAGTTGTAAGGATGCACGAGCTCCCCAAGCTCACCAAAACCTCTCTGGATCCCAGGGGAAGCGCAAGAGAAAGAGGTTGTGCTCAGGCGACTTGAAGGGCAAAAACCAAACTTGCATGTGGCGAAATGGTGTACCTTCCATTATGAAATCAAAGAAGACCCTAAGGCGGGTTTATTGAAATCTTAGAAAAATATTTACGATAATCTGAAATCAATCTGAAATGATAGTTTAGAGAAAAAAGAATAATTAAACTTGGAAATAACCAAATTTGAAAGAGTTTATGACTATTTTTTGAAGTATTATTCTGAATCACATCAATGTATTCCGTAAAAAACTATAACAGGAACACCCAGATATTGGATTGGTCATCAATTTGTACAAATCCTTAATTTCATCTTCTCGTGAGAACTTCAAAAATCTATGAAGAGGATAACAAGGTGCTGATTGATAAGAACTAAACTTCAAGCGAAAAGGGTACCAGAAAGAGAAAGCAACATTTTGAAAGCGACAATAATGTAGAAATTATTTCCAGCGCTAAGGATGCTATCAAAATGAACGTTTTCCTTAATTGCGGATTGATTATTCTCTGAATTAGATCGTCGGAAATATGCATACGATAGTGTTCAAGATTTTACAGGTTTTCTTTAAATTTGTCAAATTTTCGGATTGAGAAATAAGGAGTGAAGCGCTAAAATTATGGGAATTAATTCAGACGAAAACTGTAATTCGAGAAAAAAAATATTTTTATTTAGTCTACAATTTAAAAATGTGATATAAAACATATATGTGTGTATAACCTAAATTAATACTTATCTAACCAATTACTGCAAACATTGAATGCATCATTAGTTGACTAAAATCAGTCAATTCTCCAGGATCATATCTGATATTTCTAAATTAATAGAAACTTGTTTAAATCTAAGATCAGCGAGATTCCTCATTAAAAATAACTTCTGATTCAAGGGGGTCAATATGGGTTTAGACTAGAAAGTATTACAACATTGGCCTTAACTGACCTAAAACATTGATAAAGGAATGGAATTTATATTTCTAGACTTGTAGAAAGCATTTGTCACAAAGTTTTAATATGAGCTTTTGAAACTGTTTCCATTGAAGGAATACCATTAATTTGTTTTAAGGATTACTTTTTGGAAGAGCGAACACAATTTGTAAAAATTAATAATTCATGAAGAACTTACAAGATATCACCTGTGGAGTATTCCAATACTCTATTCTTGGACCTATTTTTGACATATACCTACTTGATTCTAAATCTACCTTTCGTGATCAGATTCAACTATAATCTGATGATAGTTGCCTAATATATTTCAGATGAAATTAAGAAATAGTAAAAAAACATACTGAGTTTGACTGGCAAAAAATTACAAAATAACTGAACCATTATAAACTAACCTTATGTATTGAGAAATCATCTTACACGATTATTTTTAAAAACAAGCATTGTCTCTCTCAAATGAATCAAATCATTTAAAGAAGACAAATTGTGTAAAAAAGTTGTGTCTGCACATTGACAATAGAAACTCTCTTGGGATTAATATCACACATAGATGTAAAAAAATGCTTCAGCAATTAGCATTCTTGAAAGGGACTTATATTTTTCTCTCATTCTTTCTTTTCTTACATACCTCATCTGGAGTTGTACTTAACACAACACGATCAATCCTTTTACCTCCCATCTAGCTACAAATATATACCTACAGAATCCTAAACTTTTTATATTCACAACTGCAAAACCAATACAATTCACTCAAACCTTCGAGTCCTTTATATGAATGAGTCCAATGATCATAATGTAAGGAGCTGCAGCAAAACAAGAGCGGTTACAATGAGAAAAACAATACTATCTAAAGGGGTTAAAATATAAAATAAAGTGCATGACAGTATGAATTACCTACGCATCGCTGCATTTAAAAGAAAAATCCGAAAATGTATATTTGATGGTCTGCTCTAAGAATGAAAATGTTGTAAATTAGTATTGTGTTAATTGTATTAATACTTTATGCTGTGATTGTTTGTCTCACTTCTTAACAAAATGTACCTGTTAGGGTTAGGTCTAGATAGTTCTAGCCTTTTATTTTTTTAAATGTATTTAATTCTATTTACTATAAAGGATTACTATTTCCAGATTTTCCGGCTGCAACAATAATTTAACTACACAGAACTGATATCTATATAAAATTGAAAAATCAATAATGTTTTTTTGAGATAAATTTATATTCCAAATGTAATTAAAAAATATTGGATTGGATTAACACGTAATTTGTGATTGATTCAGTTTAAAATTATTAATTGAAACTGTCGTGAACGGTTTTGAATTCAAAACAAACACTGTCACGAATAATTGAATAAAACAATTCCAGTATTGCAGACGAAAGAATACGTGTACTGTTTGCAAATAGGAAAAAAAACGTACTTTTAATTTTGGTTTGCATGTAGAATAAAAATTGAAAATGCTCGTTCAAAGCCCTTATCTTTAAAAAGAATTGTCACCGAAATAAAATCGGTAGTTTTCTATGCGGATAAAGGTAGAAGAGAAAAAGATTAAATTAACTAAAGTAGTTATTAAGCGCACAGTAATTAAAATATACAGTTTTACGTCTAATATACAAGGGACATCGAACTGAATACAATACACCTCATATAAAATCCCTACCTGCCCTTCATATCTGAGATATAATATAAAAATTTCTTATTTTGATGAAATTTTGAACTATTTTATCATGTATTTTCATAAAATTTCCATCAATTTCTTTGTTATTTTTCAGATTTAACAATGTTTGTAGGAAAATTCAAATAAAAAAGCATAATAAATAAGCACAATCAATAAATAAATATTCTGTGGCCAATCGAGTTATACCGATGCCAACGCTAACCCAAAAAAAAGCACAGTCAAAGGAAAAGGTTTATTTTTAACAAGTAAATCTTTTTAGATTAATTGAAAATGGGTTAATTTTAGCTTGCTCGAGGGGTACATCGCAGAGTGAATTAAGTTTACAAAGGTTCACAGGATTTTAAAGAATTAAGAGGAAAATTGAGAGGAAATTGACAAGAAATTGACAAAAAATTGACAAGAAATTGACAAGGAATTGAAAAGGAATTGAAAAGGAATTGAAAAGGAATTGAAAAGGAATTGAAAAGGAATTGAAAAGGAATTGAAAAGGAATTGAAAAGGAATTGAAAAGGAATTGAAAAGGAATTGAAAAGGAATTGAAAAGGAATTGAAAAGGAATTGAAAAGGAATTGAAAAGGAATTGAAAAGAAATTGAAAAGGAATTGAAAAGGAATTGAAAAGGAATTGGAAAGGACTTTACAATGAATTGACAAGGAATTGACAAAGCATGACAAGGTATCGTCAAAGAATGACAATAAATTGAGAAGGAATTGAGAAGGAATTGAGAAGGAATTGAGAAGGAATTGAGAAGGAATTGACAAGGAATTAACAAGGTACTGATCAGGAACTGACAAGGAACTGTCAAAGAATTGACAAGGAATTACCGAGGAATTGACAAAGAATTGACAAATAACTGACAAGTAATTGACAAGTAATTGACAAGTAATTGACAAGTAATTGACAAGTAATTAACACGGAATTGACAAGGAATAGACAAGTAATTGACAAGTAATTGACAAGTAATTGACAAGTAATTGACAAGTAATTGACAAGTAATTGACAAGTAATTGACAAGTAATTGACAAGTAATTGACAAGTAATTGACAAGTAATTGACAAGTAATTGACAAGCAATTGACAAGTAATTGACAAGTATTTGACAAGAAATTAACACGGAATTGACAAAGAATAGACAAGAAATGGACAAGGAATGGACAAGGAATATACAAGGAATATACAAGGAATATACAAGGAATATACAAGGAATATACAAGGAATATACAAGGAATATACAAGGAATATACAAGGAATATACAAGGAATATACAAGGAATATACAAGGAATATACAAGGAATATACAAGGAATATACAAGGAATATACAAGGAATATACAAGGAATATACAAGGAATATACAAGGAATATACAAGGAATATACAAGGAATATACAAGGAATATACAAGGAATATACAAGGAATATACAAGGAATATACAAGGAATATACAAGGAATATACAAGGAATATACAAGGAATATACAAGGAATATACAAGGAATACACAAGGAATATACAAGGAATATACAAGGAATATACAAGGAATATACAAGGAATATACAAGGAATGGACAAGGAATGGACAAAGAATGGACAAGAAATATACAAGGAATGAACAAAGAATGGACAAGAAATGAATAAGGAATGGACAAGGAATTGACAAGGAATTGACAAGGAATTGACAAGGAATTGACAAGGAATTGACAAGGAATTGACAAGAAATTGACAAGGAATTGACAAAGAATTGACAAGAAAATGACAAGGAATTACCAAAAAATTGACAAGGAATTGACAGGGAATGGACAGGGAATGGACGAATCATTGACAAGAAACTGACAAGGAATTGACATAGAATTGATGAGCATGTGACAAGGAAGGATAAACAATTGACGAATAATTAATAAGCAATTAACAAGAAACTGCTGGAGAAATGTTGAGGAATTGCCGAGCGATTGCTTGGTTACTTAAAAATAAATTACCAAGGAATTAAGAGATAATTAATATTACTGCGTGAATTGCAGAATAATTGGAATTACTAAAGAACTGTTGAGAAATTGCCGGATTATTGCAGAGGAATAACTCACAATAAATTGACAAGGAATTAACAAGGAATTGACAAGGAATTAACAAGGAATTGAAAAGGAATTGACAAGGAATTGACAAGGAATTGACAAAGAATAGACAAGAAATGGACTAGGGATGGGCAAGGATTATACAAGGAAAGAACAAGGAATTGACAAAGAATGTACAAGGAATTAACAAGGAATTCACAAGGAATTAACAAGGAATTGACGAAGAATGTACAAGGAATTGACAAGGAATTAACAAGGAATTGACAAGAAATTGACAAAGAATTGACAAGCATGTGACAAGGAAGGATAAACAACTGACGAATAAGTAATAAGCAATTGACAAGAAACTGCTGAGGAAATGTTGAGGAATTGCCGAGCCATTGCTTGGTTACTTGCAAAGAAATTCCAAGGAATTAAGAGATAATTAATATTATTGTGCGAAATGCAGAATAATTGGAATTACTGCAGAATTGTTGAGAAATTGCTGGGGTATTAGGGGAATTACTGAAGAATTTAAAAAAAAATTGCAAAGGAATTTCCTATGAATTTCTAAGAAATTCAAAAGAAATTACCGAGGAAATGAGAGGGAATCAATATTGCGCGAATTGCCGAGAAATTGCTGAGGAATTACTTAGTAAGTACTGAGAAATTTCAAACAAATGACTAAGGAATTGGAAAAATAAATATCATTGAATTCAAGTAAAAAATTTAAATTAACTTAACGATTTAAAGTAAAAGTCAACAGATTGAAATTAAAATTTAAATTCATAAAACGTAAAAAATCGTCATGTCTACATAAATAAACTTACTTACTGTTTGTTATATGCAGAATGTTCTTACCTGAAACAATAAATTTTAAATATAAGATTTCAAATGATTATAATCAGAAATACGAATCAAATATTTTACAGGTGAAAAGAGGTAGGGTCCAAGGAGTGATCCACAATTTTTTTTTCTAAAGTAGGTCACGACCAATAAAGCCGGAGACACGAGTCACGTCCGTGATAACTACGCACGGCTATAAATTAAATCCAAACTGACAAGGATAACAGTATACTCCGACATACGTGCATTTTTCAAAGGCCTAATTTAGAAACATTTGGATCATTTTATACAATACAAGGTTGTTGGTAAGTACAGAACTAAAGTTAAGCGGTATAATATTATTGTTTAAAAATTATAAAGTTCAAATGGGATATTTTTTTTAGCAAAAAATGGCAGTGTTTGCAAATTTATTTGCGAACTGGCGTCATTTTAATTGCAATATAGGTCATCTGACACATCATTTAAAAGGGCTTTGCAAGCTGATTACATAATTGTATAAAACACTGGATATTAATATAATAGATTTGGTTCTAGAGATAAAATATTAAAACTGAAAAATAAGTTTTTTGGATAATATCGCTTAGGTTTCATAATAGACAGCAGAAAATTAACGCCCCAATTTCCCCTACGAAAATAAATAAGAGATTTTCATAACCCCAATATGAAAACAAATCAAACAAAATTGATAAAGCTGACATGAAAAACAAATCGAACCTGGATCTTATAGTTTACATGTCACTGCCTTAGTCATTAGGACACCGGAGCTTATAGCTACAAATTCCGAATTCTCAAATCGAAAACATCAGATTTTGAACTTAGTCGATATGTACATATCCACCCAGCTCCCTCAATCTTCCTCTAAGCCAATTCGATTATTGTATAAGCGCCTTTGGCCTAATTGGTAAGGCAGTGAGTTGTAAACTCGATTCCTGGTTAGGGCCTACTTTTTCAGAAGACTTTTTCAATTTTTTCTTCTTTTTTTGGCGTTGTGAGTGGATTTTTTAGTTTCATAGGGGGAATTAGGAATTACGTTCAGTTTCAGATCTCCAAATTGTTATATGTAATAAAACAATTATTCTGAAAGTCAACAAAACAAAATGCCATGTCAGTTGCAAGAAAAACGTTCTATACATTTCTGAGCCTGATGAATTTTAAAATACCTTGAGATTGTGATTTGTCTGAATGACATGACCTTCAAATTGCTCACAGTCTAGCATCTGTCAAAATTTATTAGGCTCGTCAGGTGTCATCAATGTTCTTACAATTGTTGTAAAAATGAAGGTGTTTTTGTCTTTTTTTTTTGTTTTTTTTTTGTGGGTTTACTTGTATTTTTTGTTGTTTTTTATTGTTTTTGTTGTTTTTGGTTGTTTTATGTTGTTTTTTTTTTGTTTTTAGTTATTTTTTGTTGTTTTTTTGTTGTTTTTTTGTTGTTTTTTTTTGTTGTTTTTTTGTTGTTTTTTTGTTGTTTTTTTATTGTTTTTTTATTATTTTATTGTTTTTTATTGTTTTTTATTGTTTTTTATTGTTTTTTATTGTTTTTTATTGTTTTTTATTGTTTTTTATTGTTTTTTTATTGTTTTTTATTGTTTTTTATTGTTTTTTATTGTTTTTTATTGTTTTTTATTGTTTTTTATTGTTTTTTATTGTTTTTTATTGTTTTTTATTGTTTTTTATTGTTTTTTATTGTTTTTTATTGTTTTTTATTGTTTTTTATTGTTTTTTATTGTTTTTTATTGTTTTTTATTGTTTTTTATTGTTTTTTATTGTTTTTTATTGTTTTTTATTGTTTTTTATTGTTTTTTATTGTTTTTTATTGTTTTTTATTGTTTTTTATTGTTTTTTATTGTTTTTTATTGTTTTTTATTGTTTTTTATTGTTTTTTATTGTTTTTTATTGTTTTTTATTGTTTTTTATTGTTTTTTATTGTTTTTTTATTGTTTTTTATTGTTTTTTATTGTTTTTTATTGTTTTTTTATTGTTTTTTATTGTTTTTTATTGTTTTTTATTGTTTTTTATTGTTTTTTATTGTTTTTTATTGTTTTTTTATTGTTTTTTATTGTTTTTTTATTGTTTTTTATTGTTTTTTATTGTTTTTTATTGTTTTTATTGTTTTTTATTGTTTTTTATTGTTTTTTATTGTTTTTTTATTGTTTTTTATTGTTTTTTATTGTTTTTTATTGTTTTTTTATTGTTTTTTATTGTTTTTTATTGTTTTTTATTGTTTTTTTATTGTTTTTTATTGTTTTTTTATTGTTTTTTATTGTTTTTTATGGTTTTTTATTGGTTTTTATTGTTTTTTATTGTTTTTTTATTGTTTTTTATTGTTTTTTTTATTGTTTTTTATTGTTTTTTATTGTTTTTTATTGTTTTTTTATTGTTTTTTATTGTTTTTTATTGTTTTTTATTGTTTTTTATTGTTTTTTATTGTTTTTTATTGTTTTTTATTGTTTTTTATTGTTTTTTATTGTTTTTTATTGTTTTTTATTGTTTTTTTATTGTTTTTTATTGTTTTTTATTGTTTTTTATTGTTTTCTATTGTTTTTTATTGTTTTTTATTGTTTATTGTTTTTTATTGTTTTTTATTTTTTTTATTGTTTTTTATTGTTTTTTATTGTTTTTTATTGTTTTTTATTGTTTTTTATTGTTTTTTATTGTTTTTTATTGTTTTTTATTGTTTTTTATTGTTTTTTATTGTTTTTTATTGTTTTTTATTGTTTTTTATTGTTTTTTATTGTTTTTTATTGTTTTTTATTGTTTTTTATTGTTTTTTATTGTTTTTTATTGTTTTTTATTGTTTTTTATTGTTTTTTATTGTTTTTTATTGTTTTTTATTGTTTTTTATTGTTTTTTATTGTTTTTTTTTGTTGTTTTTGTTTTTTTTTTATAGATTTTAGAAAATGTTTTATTAACCCGTACAGGCCAAAGAACTGTTCCTAATCAATAAATCATTAAACACAAGTTATACATCTTAGAGGTGGTCAGAATAGTCGATTTTAAAACTAACCTTTTTCTGGCCACTAAATGTACTTTTTGTGTGTAGAGATAGAAAGAAAACAAAATAATCTATTCAAAATGTTAATTTAATCCGCATACATGTTTTTCCAACTTAATTACACACTTAAGTTATTCTCTGCGAAAGCAATTCTTGCTTTAAATTCAAGTATATAGATGGAGTTCGATTAGAAATAAAAACAGGATTTCTTCGTTACAATTCATGTCGATCTAAATCACTTTTTCAAGCTTTTGGAGGACTTTTTATCTATTACTGTAAACCATATAAAGTTACAAAGTCATACATAGCAGTGTTTCTCATAGGAATTGTAACGATGAATAACTGTTGCTCCCTTTTTCTTTAAAGGCGCCAGCATTATTACCAGGGGCGGCTATAACACTAATTTTATAGTTTATTTAATTAAAAAATGGGAGATAAAAGGTGGAATTTTTTTTTGTACGCAACCAAGGAAAATTTAATAAAAAATTCTATATTTCTATATTTCAAATTTAGGATAGAATGTTTCGTTTTTTTTTTGCTTTTAGGCTTTGTCACTGTTTCCCAGCGCCACTTTAGGAACAGCACTGTTAATTAGAACGCAACAGTAAATTGTCGAGTGGGGAATCCTACCAAGGCATCAGAATTAATTTAAATAATTAAATTAAATGAAAAAATTCCGGCCAACGGTGGGATTCGAACCTGGAACCCTTTGATCCACAGGCAGAGGCTCTACCACTGAGCCACCCACCCCC